AAATACTAAGAGAGAGAGAGAGAGAGAGGATGTAGCAGGAAGATGTGAGTTGCCCATGTGAGTGAGGCAACTTGCTGTCCTGGTAAAGCAATGGCACAAAGCAGGGAAGAGAAGCAATGATATCCAGAAGACTCTCTCTCTCTCTCTTTCTCTTACACACACAACCTCACATGGCGCCTGTCGTCGCTTTCGTGTGGGAATTCCTTTCTTGTAAGGTGGAGGAGGAGAGGCAGGTTCGAACAGTTGGAAGAAGCACAAGGAAGCAAAGATAGAGAAAGGAAAAGAATACTGTGTGTCAGTCGCAGGTTCTACTTTTGCCAATGCTAAATAATCTCAGTCGTTGGTCTGAATCAATCATTTTGATCTATTTACATTCCAAAGCACGGATGGTTGAGATTGAAGGGGAAAGTAAAGAAGGGGACGGTTTTGTATCCTCTCCATAGCCTCGTTTCTCTCGCTTCAGTCCTCTTCCTCGGGATTCTGTCATTTCTTCCTCCTCCTCCTCCTCCCTCGTACCTGTATACTCCATAAGTAACCTTGTTCCTGCTGTACACCGAGCACTGTGAACTCTGTTCTGGTAGCCGCAACCCAAGCCAGTCTCTGATCATCTCCACCACTCTAGATTTCCAGGACGTGCACTCGGTAGTAGCAGAAGAAGAACGCACTGCAGTGGAGGAAAGATGGGCAGCACCTCAGGCAAAGAATGGCCACAGGCATCTCTCTCTCTATCTTTCTGTCTATCTATTTGTGTATCTATCTCCGTCCCTATAACTCCGTCAATATTACCACTGCATGCTTGTTTTTGTTGGCTAGCTCTTGTCAGGGAGCCTTCCTCTGGGTTCCATTGTTCACACCTCTAACCCTAGCTTTTCTCTCTCTTCGGGGAACGCTTGTGTTCCGTTTCCTCTGCAGATGATGGATGATAGGCTTCTGGTCACTGAAAAATACAACAGTGGCAGTAATGGTACTAACACCAACAAGAACAATACGATTCATGCCGGTTCTGCGACTCTCGATGTTTCTGGGGTTATGAACAAGCCACTATCGGCCTCAGAGCATGCACAGGCCGCCCTGAGATGCCCCCGCTGCGACTCCTCCAACACCAAGTTCTGCTACTTCAACAACTACAGCTTGTCGCAGCCGCGGCACTTCTGCAAGGCGTGCAAGCGCTACTGGACGCACGGCGGCGCGCTCCGGAACGTCCCCGTCGGCGGGGGGTGCCGCAAGAACAAGCGGGCGAAGATGCCGGTGGCCGCCTCCACGGGGCCCCCGAACCGTCCGCAACCCCACCTTCTTGCTCCGCCGGATCCGATCCCTTCCATCTCAGTGCAGATATCTTCCTCTTCCTACCTCGGCGACGCGGCCTCACTCTATGCCCTGCAGACGGCGGCGGCGTCGTCGTCGTCGGATATGAGCCCGACTTTGCCAATTGTCGCGAGCAGCAACCAAATCCCATCTTTCACTAGTGCTGCCTTCGATCTGCAGTCTCATCTCGGCTCTCTTGGACTCGACCTGTCATCCAAGCCACAACGCGACTACGAGTACTATCTCGGCGAGCTCCAGCCATTGCCGTCCTTGAGCTCGACTGCGATGCCGCTCCTGAATGACCACCCACTCTCCGGATCATCTTTGCAATCTCCGCCACTTGTCGCACCAAGCACTAAACACCCCAAGCGAACCGAAGACTACCAAGCCTTGTGTTCCTTTAATGAATTGCAAGCCTCTGGGAGGAATTGGAGGATGGATAGGATGATGAAATCAGTCAAACTGGAAGGGCAGACCAACGACATGATCAACAGCAACATTAGCAGCTACATAGATTGGCAGATTCCAAATCCAACAGAGATTTCTTTGGATAATTTTGGTCCAGCTGCAGCTATGTACTGGAATTCAGCCATCGGCAGCGGTTCAAGTTGGCCGGAGAACACGAACCTCGGGTCGTCGCTCACGCCTCTGATCTAATCTGAATCAAATGTGCAGATAATTAGTATTCTCTCTCACCTTCGATCACCATTCATGGTTTCTATTCTTCTTAAACGTTCATTGGTAGTAAGGATTGGTGGATTAAAACTAGATTACATCTGGATTGGTTTTGCATGCGTGTATATAGCAGACATGACATATTCTCGGACAAGTCTTCTTCTTCTTCTTCTTCTTCTTCTTCTTCTTCTTCTTCTTCTTCTTCTTCTTCTTCTCATGTGTTGGCAGAAAAGATTCTGTGAGTGAGTTCTTGGTCTTTCTTTCATTGCAACAAGTGTTTAACCCTTTTCTCATGCTTCTCTTTCCTGGACCACTGATGATGATGTTTAACCCTTTTGCATGCGTGTATATAGCAGACATGACATCTTCTTCTTCTTCTTCTTCTTCTTCTTCTTCTTCTTCTTCTTCTTCTTCTTCTTCTTCTTCTTCTTCTCATGTGTTGGCAGAAAAGATTCTGTGAGTGAGTTCTTGGTCTTTCTTTCATTGCAACAAGTGTTTAACCCTTTTCTCATGCTTCTCTTTCCTGGACCACTGATGATGATGTTCAGAAGTGCAATGACTGTCTTTATCTGCAGCATTAATCTGGTTAGGGTTTGTGCTTACCTCTGGTGTATCTTTCCCTGCCTTTCATGATTGTGTCAGTTGAATCCTTGCCAATGGAACTGCATTGGGCAGGCCAAGCTTGTGTTTCGTACATGAAGAGACTCATCAATTTGGCAGTCTTGTGCATCCACTTTTGTCCAGAGCTCCTTTTTCTTTGCGTGTCCATTTATACTTCAAGGAGAAGCTCTTTTTCTTAGGGTAATGGATGCACCTTTTTCTCCTTGTAACGTAGCAATTGGACCCATCAGATTGGTTTTGACTGGAGCAATGCATTCCTCTTCTCATTGACCACTACTTTTAGTGCAATGTAACTCTGCTGTTGGATGATCTGGTTGCAGCTATCAACATGGTGACAGGACATCCTTCTTAGGTTTTGTATGCTCTAATCAACCTACATTGTTGGTAAGGACTAATGTTCTAAGAGCTACTTGAATGTGTTATGTTCAAATTGCATTGTAAAAGTAAAAAGGATGTCTTTCCATTCTTTAATCTAAATATGATGAGGGAAAAATCATGTAAGCTGTATAAGGTGTGAGATGTTATGTTTGTAGAGAAAGGAGAAAATGAAAAAGCAAAGGGGACTTCTTTTTTTCCTTTTAAGCTTATTTTTTCCTTTTGTGATTAACAATTTTATATCTTAGGATAAAACAACAAAAAGATTCATAGAACTTAATAGAAGATATATATATATATATATATATATATATATATATATATTATATGTTGATATTGTTTGGACCATAAATTAAGATTCTTCTCAGCCATGCTCTTCAAGATATAAGGCATTGCCATCTCAACATAGGCAAAAGTCATTGCTTTTGCAGTGATCTAATCATGTGAAGAAGTCAAGAAAAAGTTGGAACTATCACAAATTTGATATGCTTAACTATGAGTAATCTAAAGCTCTGGTTTCTTGTGAAATATTCTAACAGGTCATCACACTTTCTTTATGTTTGGTAAGAATGTGGAACCTCATCACTTGTACACAGTCTCACATGTATTATCCAAAATTGAATGATGCTTCCTTTGATCATATGTACATCATGTAAAGCTATTGAAGGACATTTGATCTGCTGGTTGAGCCAAAAAGAAGATCAACTGCAGCCTTGAAATTAATGTTGATTATTTTGAAATCCTAAATAAAACAATGTTCTATATCATCAAGAACATGATTTTTCAGATTCTTTTAGTAGACTGTGTAGACATTAGATGCCAGTTTTAGTGGGAGTCTTCCCATATCATTTCTTGGAGTTGCATTCCTTGAATACCATAGTGAATTATACATTTTCATATATTTCCAAGTAACATTATCAATCAATTCTTTCTGATGTGTGATATCAGAAACCACAAAGGCACTGGAATCAAATGTTTTGTTGATTGTCTGATAGGATGCTGGGTGGAATGAGTACATCAAGCACCTGTGGTCATAGGAACAATGACTGTTAAAAATGTGAGAGAGGTAATTCTCCAGAAATTTAGATGTGTATTACCAGTAAATGCAGAGAGCTACTGCTGAAAGAGTTGTCTACATCTCTATGCCATCTACAATAATAACATAACCAGAAACATGGAAAGCCATTTCTCTATTAGTAGAACTTGATGGAGCATTACTTGCAGAAAAAGAAGGATGAGAGATCAGCTGAAGAAGATGCAAGACATTTTGGATCAACAGTTTGGCAGATGTTGCTATGGGAAATCAGAAAGTGATGATGATGAGGTTTTATTCAAACTCATAACTGAGTCAGTTGACCAACTGAATCAAAAGAACATCTATCATTTGTAGCATATACATCCAATTTTTATGCATTAATACAAAGCTATTATGAAGGAGAATGTTTAGTCCATATAAATCTAGTTCTAATCATATCTATGGCAATGCCATTGTATCCGGCAAATCATCTATCCACCTGCCTACTTGATAGGTCATGATCTTAACATTGCAGAAAATGACAGTTGTATAAACCTGGAAGCTGGTAGTCTGTGATGGGAAAAATTATTATAACGGAATAATTTTTTTATTAAAATACTAATTTATTATAAAAAAGTAAATATTAATCAGAGCAATATAAACGGTATAACAATGAATCAATCACAAAATGAGACACTGAATTTTTACATGAAAAACCCAATGCGAAAAAAATCACGAGAGCATAGTCCACTTCAAACCTCCACTATCACTAATAATAGTAATAGATTTATAATAAATCTTCTCTAGAATAATTAGAGAATCACAATAACATCAAGAATACATATCTTAGCTCAACAATAATATATGATCATCATCGTAGATGAATTTCATCAAAAAAAAGTTTAGGTATCACTAAGTGGGTATTATCAAAAAAACATCTCGGAAAGGACAAATCACATATTGGCATCATTAGAATTATAAAGTTTGTTATAAAGATTCTTCACATAAAATTTTGGGCCAAAGCTAATGAAGTTTAACCACTTTGATCGTTTAGCAAAAACTTTGAAACCCTAAATTTTTTTCTCCTCTTTCTGTTTTGTTTTCTACGTCGTTCTTTTTCCATTCGTTAACTTCTCGCGTTACGATACGTTCCCACTTCTTATTTTTTTTAAAATAACTAATCAAATTTGAATTCAATGTCTCTTTTATCTAGTCCAAACAGTATATATGTTCAGTAGATTGAGAGCACAAGTCTTCTTTGATGTGAGTTGTTCCTGAATTCCGTGTTCCTTCCATGCGAGTCTCTCATCAAAGAATTGCCTTCCTGTCTCAGGTGTCACACCGAAACACTTCACCGTTCCCATCCCGCAGCCTCGTTTGATCTATCGACTTCTTTTTGTGTTTGCAGAGCTTGAATGCGCATGCTTTCACATATATAAAACATGAAGTCTTCTCTCTCTCTCTCTCAATGTACACTGCCATGGTAGATACGCGTAGCTCTCCATGGGCTTCTAAAGACGTCTAAACGCACGGATTTTGATGCACGTCAACCACGAAGGAGAAGTCAACCAGAGAACCAGCGGTCATCCTCGGCTCGGGCAAAGCCCGAGCCATCTCGTGATGGCCGGTTCGGATCCGTGGCAGGGTAGATGTTCTTGTCAACGAGGGCGCAAGATGGGCCCCGCGATTTCAGCCCAGGCATGGCTCGAGCAGTCGCGGGCCCCGACTCCTGGGCCCCACACGCGGCGTGTGGGGGCTTTTCGCGCTCCCCGCGGTGACGAAGGTCACAAAACAACTCATCGCGCTTTCGGGTAGGGTTTTACGCGCCAGCGGCTGAGGGACCAAACGCCGGAAGGAAGCCTGTTGTTGGTGGAACCATCGGGGCCCATCCGTAATGACGATCCTGGTTCGGGAAATGACCCGAACCCTGAATTGGGTGGACGCGAGATCCGAGACGTAGCCATCGAACGGAACCAAAGTTGCGAGTGAGGAGAAACGCGGCCATCGACCCAGCAACCACCAGTGACCCGTACGGTGGAGATTCTCCCGTCGGGTCCCGTGGGGAGTAAACGGGGGCTTCTTCGATCCGTCTCTTCCCCCTTACGAGATCAGTTTTCTTCTTCCTCTCATCCTCCTCTTCCATCAAAGTCGTCGGTTTCGAGCACGGGGTACGAGCGGATCACGAGGATGGCGGGGAGGGAGATCTTGCACAAGATAAAAGTACGTTGACCTCCGTCACAGCTTACCTGAATTGCTTGTTTCTCGACTCCGAACCGGAATCTGTTCTATTCTGCCCATTTTAGAATGTGGTCGTGGGAGGAGTCTCAATTCATTAAAAGGATCCTCGTTTTTCCTCTTCCTTGTGATGTGTTCTGTGATCGCGCTTCCTTTTATGGATCTCGAGTGATGTTCTTGTTCTGATTTAAGATTGTGGTTGCTTTATGTTGAACTTGATTCTGAAATCGATAATAATACGCCAAAACCCGTTGAGCTGAAGCTAAGTGATGGGAATTTGAAGTCCTTCGAGCGGTGTTTCAATCTTCCGTTAGGTGTTAATCTCTATTATACGATACTCTTTAGTTGCTTGTAATAAGTCCAAAGAGAGCATCTTCTCATCAGATTAGGATTGCAAACTTGCTGTTTGACAATTGTGAGGGTCATCAGTAAAATTTTCTTTGTACAAGCCAAAAGCTCGAGATCTTGCGATTCTAAAACGGAGGTGAACACTGGTGTTACAGTTTATCCGAGATTTTTCCTGTGGTATATGCATTCCTTCGGTTTGATTATTAGAATTCATAGTTTATTTTCTTAATTTTCTTTTTGATTACATGTTGTTCTTTCATGTTAGCATTTGAGTCCTTTGTTTAGGATGTTGTTTCCGAGTATGATTTGCTTAGATATCATGATGTTGTCTGTGCAGGTCAAAGCAGGGTTTGGTTCCTCATCAGAAACTGGAAAGGGCAAGAGCAAGATTGCTGGTAGGAGTATTCGACATGGCTATCACTTGGTGAAAGGGAAATCAAGTCATCCAATGGAGGACTATCTGGTGGCAGAATTTAAGAAAGTTAATGATTATGAATTGGGCTTGTTTGCAATTTTTGATGGCCACTTGGGTCATGATGTTGCAGACTATCTGCGATCTCATCTTTTTGAGAACATATTGAAAGAAGTAAGCGTTTTATTTGGGCTCTTCCATTCCATTATGTAGATTGCATATTTACTTTAGAGGTCTTTTTGCATTATATTGATCATGTATTCAAACTATTCATATTTCCAGATAAGAATTGCAGGTTTGAACATGTAAATTTTGCTAACCTTAATCTGACATGCAGCCGGAATTTTGGAGTGATATAGAAAGTGCCATCAGGAAAGCATATGAAAGCACTGACAGTAAAATACTGGAAAAACAAGCTGAGTTAGGAAGAGGAGGTTCTACTGCAGTTACAGCTATACTAATAGATGGTGTGAAGCTTGTGGTGGCTAATATTGGAGATTCACGAGCTGTTATTTCCAAAGATGGTGTAGCCATACAACTTTCTGTTGATCATGAGCCAAGCAGGGAGCGATATTTGATCGAGGAAAAGGGTGGTTTTGTGTCAAACATTCCTGGTAATCTATGACTTCTATTTTGCTACTTTGTGTTGTTCGAATTCACAATTTTAACATCTGAGCAATAATGATGGCAAGTTTCACCTAAATTTACATTCAATTTCAGAAAATATATCTGAATTTGTTATACCGAAAACCCCGAGTTGTTGAAGTTTAGTATATACTTTGTATCTGAAGAACAGAAAACAAGTTATATCAAACTTTTAGGAAACTTATATGGTATGCATCAATCCCCCCCTGTGGTCATCTGATCATGTTTCACAATTTCAGATATCAATGCATGGCAATAGTTTAAGCAATTAAATTTCATGTTTGGTCAAGTAATGATGAAATTTTAAGGTCATAACAAAAGTTTTTCAGGGAAAGAACAGTGACTATTTGCATGAATGAGAATATGTCTAGATCAAGGATACAGCTTGATATGTTCCCAATTTTGGAAATCTACAGGACAAGGTACCAATACATTGGACAGTATACCATATCACCCAAAAACATAACAAAAAGATAACACCAACATGCGGTATCAGTCCTTGGTCGGACCGATAAATGTCGGTCGGCATCCACTGAAATGACCAGTACTTGAACCATGTAGGTGAGAGAGAAGCAGAAATTGTGTTTTGAACTGTTTCATTGCAACTATGGTTCAGTTGGGTGACTTTTCCTTTTTTCATTTTGTAATTGAAGAGTTTTATTGGCTGTCAATTGATCTTGAAATAAACTCAAGTAGAGAAGAATAGTCGGTCGATTATCTGTAGATTTAAAAACTACATGCATGAGATTTCTTTCTTAATATACTTTGAAGAGGATGGTTTATTGATTGACCAATTGATCATAAAAGGAGAGTATCCAACAACAGGATTGATGTTTTAATTGGTCTATGGCCTACAATATCTTAGACTTCAATTGAGTTTATGTGATAAGCACATTGCTAATCTTATTAATTGACGAATTCTATTCTAAAAGTCACGCAACCTTTTCTTTTATATTTCATCCTGACTTGGGGGAACCATGGGTATTCTTATCTGTTTCTTATGCATCACCACTGCAATATCAAACTTTTGGTGGTCTGGTCTATTTCTCTATATTAGGCAACTGCAGCTACATGTTACTCAACGGTCCATGTCATGGAAAACCACTATGCTTAGCCTACGAAATTTATGCTCATGCACAACTCCAGTTTAGCCATTTTCTTATGCTTAGCCTACAAAATTACTAGCAATGGCCTTTTATTCATAGACTATCAAGGCCCAAGTCTAGCTAAATAATTTGCTGGGCAAGACCTTTTCTTTCTTTTTACAGAAAAAATGTATTCTAACAAATTCCCATCTAAAATGAAGCCTCCAAAATTCTCCAATTCTTCCTGATTGCTTATCAACTTTCTCTGAAAAAGAAAAACTTTGTCTAAACTAGGACTTAATAGAATCATGCATTCTCAAAATGAGAAATATTCTATATAATCGAACAAGCCAAAACCTAATCCATGCTAGCACCTTTGTCAAACTAATCACTCCTAGTCGAGAAAAGGATACCATCGTTCGGTCCTTGTTATAGCTAGGGATTAGGAGGTAGAACAAACGTTTGTCGTGTTGAAGGTGATTAAGTACTCCAAAATAGGTGGTGTTTATCCATTTTTCACGTGTTTGATATTTAGCTAATACCTTAGCCTTGATTGTTTCCTTGTCTTCCAACCATATTTGTGCGCCATCAAAATTAGTGTAATCCACCTTAAAATGGCAGTGCTTAATAGAGATATGACTGGGTTTATGTCTGGCTGATGCAGTTAGGGTTGTCGATCATATCATAAAGAGAATTGTGTACAGTTGTTTGTAATGCAAGTCATGATAAGTAATTCTATGTGCCACCTAAGACTATGATTTGCAATTTTGGAAATCGATTGTTGAACACTGTGTATGAGCCCTACAAAGTGTGTGAAATATCGTATTCCGAATTATTTCAGGAGACGTGCCACGTGTGGATGGAAGGCTGGCTGTGGCAAGAGCCTTTGGAGATCGGAGCTTGAAGGAACACCTCAGTTCTGATCCAGATGTGGCTGATGAAATCATTGATGAATATGCAGAGTTTCTAATCCTCGCAAGCGACGGATTATGGAAGGTAAACTCATCAAACTAGGACAAGCACTAATTCATTCGATAATTTGATTCGTAGTTAAATATTCTGAGACTACCCACAATTAAGTCTCTCTTCTACGACTCCTGCGAAATGCATAATGTCTGATTTGTGGGTTTAGATGTGGTCCCTATTTCAGAAGAGGTACATTTATGTATTTGATGCATAAAATTCCTTTGCCAACATAAGTGTATGCCCCAACATGCCTTAAACCTTTAAATCAAATGCATCAGGAGAGAATGATACGACTAGCAAACAAACCTATCATCGACAAAGCAAAGGTGAATAAACGTGGTAAGTTCAGTAAAAGAAAAGTGGGAATTTGCTTCAGATTCTTGTATTGTAGCGGGATAATGTTACTGGTGACTTGTAACCAAGTACATTATATACCCTTCACAATCACAGCGAGAAATAGATGAGAAAATTACTGTCTTCAGGTCTTAGCTATCGTATCTTTCTTTTTTCTTTTTGTTTCCTTCGTCCGATAATATCTTCCTTTTGTGTGTCCATCCATCCAGGTGATGTCAAACCAAGAGGCAGTGGATTTCATCAAAGATGTCAAGGATCCTCAAGCTGCAGCCAGGCTACTGACAGAGGCGGCTGTTGCAAGGAAGAGCAAAGATGACATCTCTTGTATTGTAGTTAAGTTTAACTAGCTAAGATGTTTCAGAACTATCTACCACAACTGCACATCACAATATGGGTTGTGAAATGAAATATGTTGGTATAAATTATGGGGTGCAGTCTCAATAAGATTGTATTCTGTTTTGATGCATCCTCTGTGAAAAACTGTGTTGGTTATGGGCAGTGTGAAAGCAAATTCTACTTCCTTTTATTGCTCAAAAAGTTGTATCTTAAATTGCTGTTCTTGCTTATGTCTCGAAACACTACTGGAATGATGGAGAATGCTGCTTTTTTTGTCTTCTAAGTTCTGGGTTGCATAATATGCATTGATATCTTCCTACTCAGATTGGCAATTGAGTAACTCACGATGCTTTGCTTTGTTGTTGGTTTGTTTCAAGATTCACTTGTACACAGAGATGAAAATTATAATCGAATTTAATTTGAGCTAATTACATATTACCCCTTATAATTAATTAATTTTAATATTTTGAATCTTATATTTTTAAAAGTTATATTTGGATTCCTATATTTATGAAAGTGAAATATTTAACTCTACTAACGAAAATACTACACATGCTCAATGATAAATTAAAGTGAGATAAAATCAGTAAACACATGCTTAGTGATAAACCTTATGATATTTCTATCAGCATAATCAACGACATAAGGAGAAACGAGATTAAATATTTCACCTTCATAAATATAGGAATCCAAATGTAACTTTTGAAAATATAAAAATCAAAATACTAAGGGATAATCTATAATTAACTCATTTAATTTTAATAAAATTAGTACAATAATAATAAAACCATAAATCTCAATTATTTAGGGACGACAACATAAATCTTTTATCATCAAGACGTGTAAAAAGTTATATGTCTAGTTAAATGAAAAATATTTAAACTATTATTTATAATTTCTGTTAAGATATTTCTAAATCTTCCTCTACCATATATGTAGATGAAAAAAATCATAGATAAGACACATTTCATGAATAAATCGAAGATAGATATTATGACTTGAGTAGTTGCGAGTAGAATGACAACATCAATTTAGACTTGAGGAAACAGAGACTTAAAGCTTGTCATTGGGCTCCTAAGGCTCTCAACTTACATTCCACAACCAGTGAGACACCTTCTTAAGGCTTAAATCTCACTTAGCATAAATAGATTTCATGTGAAGGAAATTAAGTGAATCCGGATTATGTTTTTCTTGCAAAGTATATTGGACCTCTTCATATAGAGATCCTAAACCTGCAACCATTTGGACTAATTAAGAGCAATGATCATAATATCAACCACAAAAACCCCCAAAACATATAAATAAAAAACTAACCACAAAAAACGATAGAACAGAAACCATAACCACTAATTTCCTGATTAGTTGCGACTAGAATGACACTTTTATTTTAGATTTGAGGAAGTAAACAACCCCAAGCTTCAAATTGGGCTCTTATGAAGCTTGAATCGAGGTTAAAGTTGTTCTACTCTCAATGCATAGCATGAGTGGAGGGAAAAGGAAGTAGGTCTTTAGGCAATCAAAAACCAACTTTCCATTTCCTTCATTCCCCTATACTTTGGTAAAGGACAATAGGCATTCTCAGATATGAGTTTGAAACTGTATCAGCTGGAAGTAATTCCAGAGAAATCATTTCAAATAGGCAGACATTGCTACAACAGTATGACAATGAAAATTCTAAATACGTCATCAGACATGACTCACCTTGTGTCAAATAGTTTTATGAAGCTTAGACACAGTCCAGAGTTATATCGTAGTAATTGAATTCCATACATCTGCTTTGTGGGCTCAGAAAGATCACCCAGAGATGCATATTGGATAGGATCAGAGATGAACAATTGTTGGATAATCATATAACCAATTACATCCAATTTGATTGATATCTATTATCTACTCTCCACCTGCGCTCCGTCTAATGATCCGATGCTTCAATCTTCCTGAAGAAGCACAATTGTTTAGAAGAACCAAGGTAATTGCTGTTCAGATTTATTGGAGGAGAACGACAGTCGATGAGAAAATCGATGATTTATTAACATCAGTATCTCTAAAAGAGATAAAAAGAAGCAACTCATATCCTAAATAATGATCATCGAGGAATACAAATATTAACAAGGAAAACAAATTATAATGAAGAAAGAAACCATACGGTTAGACGTACCAACTGTCAGATGCTATCAATGAAATTATCTTACAACTGACTCAAACAAAGATCTTAAGATGCCCTTTTTATGAGGCCTATATACTAAGCAAAGTGACTTCTACTTGTTTATGCACATACTAACATGAGGTTTGGCAAGGTTTATTAGTTCTTATATCATTATGCTACGCAATTAAAGTTTGACCATGATTATCAATCTGAGACCCAATCTATATTTGATCCAAAATAATGCTTCATATTGAAGTCCTGAAAAAATAGATGTCATGTAAGCAAAGATATGTGTGACCCCTTCCAAGCACAGAGTGGCAGGAAGCTTGACCAGTGGGTTGTTCTCATCTGCTGTCTGATTCAAAATCAAAAGTTTGAGATTAGGAAACAAAGCCAAGGTCATTTTCTTATATTTTCAGACAAGAGTTGGATGGCTAAGAGACAGAATCATGCATCACCAGAATAAGATAAATACACAAGCAAAACACCACCGAAGTCGTCTGCAGTCTTACTGGTTTCATAGTTACTCATTGAAAAAATATGTATTTGCCTCAAAGTTAATGCTTTTCAATCTAACTTAATTTACATGCAATAGATTACCTAAAGACAATAGATTAGTACTCATGGGACTTGAACTGACAATACAAGAATACAAAGAGGAGTGAACTTAACACAGAAACAGTGAACTATGAATTTCACAATTTCATTATACAATATACACAATCAACAAGCAACAGCAAACATCATGCAGCAAATGGAAGGAGCCAAGATCTTAAGGTGTCAGAAAGACAAATATTGAGCAATAAAAGGACAGCAACCTGTGTAAAGTTTTCTTTGCAGCCAGTGTGACAACCTACCCTGACTGTGTTGGAATAATGGAAACAGCTACTCTGCTTCCAACGGGAAGGCAGCCTATACTAACCCTTCCCAGACCCTACATTTACAGAAACTTTGTGCACTGAAACACCTAGCAGAGTCAGATCAATCATTTTCCAAAACAGTTTTTGAAGTATTGAGACAACGAAAGAGAATTCCCAAGTTACCAACTCATTTTATTATCCTAAAGGTGCCACGTGAAAACCTATAATAGTTTATCAACATAAACTATTATGGAAATAGGAGGAAGGAGATTCAACCCTGAAAAAGAGAACATCGTGTTTTTTAAATAAGAACAGTGCTAAGAAAGTTATAGAACAATCTATAACTCTGTGATATATGGGCAAACCAATCCACTTTTTCCATCCTTCTAAGGAACAAGACAACCAATGATCTTCTTTATCAATAGGTGAAAATTTTAATAAACTAGAAGGAATACATTGCACGACAATTCTCTGACTGATGAATAAAGCGCCAAATAGAATTATGCTAGTGCAGAATGCTTGAACATAAGATTACAACAGGAACATAAAAAAAGGATGGTCCAATGCAACAGACACATACACTAGCAGTAAATTCAACAACCACTTAGCAATAATCTTACCATGGGGAGAACAAATCAATTTTCAACCGAGTGCTGCAGAACATAAACAAGTCACAAAGAACAAGAACTCACTATACACTTTTCACCGTTGTGGTTGCCTTCTTGCCAAGGCAGGACTTTTCTTTGGTATGTAAACCTTGTAACTTACCTATTAAAGAAAACAGGTGTATGCAATTCAGATGTAAAGGTGTTTTACACTTCTTTTTGCACTTAAGGAATTAAGACCGAATACAAGAAGATCATAACCTACCTGCACTAGTTCTCCATCATGCATCCTAGAGAATGTCTTTTGTTGAAACTGAGACCCTTTATCTTCATCCTTGTTTTCATTTTCACTTTCAATTCTTTGATCGGCAGGTAATGCTGAAGTTGGTTGTCCAACAGACTGATTTACTGCAGCATCACATACAGTGCTACTTTCAGGTTCAGCAGCTGCACTCTTCTCTTGCTTGTCTTTTATTAGTGAGGAATGTTGCAAAGACATTTTGTTAGATGGCTCTTCTATCCAGTTTAATTGGGTTGGATCACTTTGGCTTTTGTTGGAGTTATCTGGGTCTTGTTCATTTTCTTTTCTAGAGCTTCCACTGGAACTTTGACGTCTAATCACATGGCTTGAAGTATCTTTCTCAGCGGGAATATTCACAACAGATCTAACTCTGGGTTCAGCTCGCCGGACTTCACCTTGAACACCACCTTGGCATTCATGGGAAACAGCGAACTTTCCATCTGAAGATTTGAAGGCATCTTGTGCCTCAGCAACTTTAATGGGGTCCTTGCCACATTGAGGTTGGCTGGAGTCATCTTCCTGACAACCAGTAGACCTCGTGTTTGCAGAAAGGCTTCGTCGGAACTTTGCAAAATTATCCAATGCCCTTTGTCTTAATTGTGATTCTAACTCGACAGCCTCCGGACCCCCAGAGTTGTCTTTCTTCTTCCTAGTAAAATCATCACCACCACCATCAGCATTCTCAATTGTTTGCTCACCACTTATACTCAGCACCATTTCACTGTCCTTTGCATTCCCATTCTTTGCTAAAGCTTCATCATTCTTTGCATTCCTCTGAGGAGAATCTTGATGTGTGTCCGACTTCCTGCCCCCATCATACCTATCAAAATCATCGTAACTTTGGATAATTCTGTCTCCCTGCTCATCCTTTCCATGAAATCCTCCTTCGACCACCTCTCTGTCCTCTGCCATAGCCAGTATCGATCTGAGCCGCCTCGGCTGTTCAATCTCCCGATACTTCTCCTCGCTACAACTTCGGCTTCGGCAAGCGCTTCCACCGGTCCGGCCGCTACTCCGACTCCCTCCACAAGTAGAGCAACTCCGAGACCGATACCTATTCCCACGCCGATCGAAGCTTGTCGTCCTCCTCCGCCGACCTCTCCCCCTCTCCGCATCCCCATCCCTCCCTCTCCCTCTAGACCGACTTCTCGCCCTCGGCTTCGCTCTCGGAGGCGGGCTCCTCGAGACGCTACTGCCGGAGGAGCTGCTCCGGCCGCGGCAGGTGGAGCAACTCCGGCTCGACGAGCCGCTCGACGCGCTGACGCTGCGGTTGCGCGACTTGCGGGACCTCTCCTTTTCCTTCTCCTTCTTCTTACTCTTCTTCTTCTTCTTCTTCTTCCTGTCGTCGTTCTTGGGCTCCCTTTTCCTCTTCTCAAGCCTCTTCGCTCGTTTCCTTCGGGAGCGAGGGCTGCCGTCGTCGGCATCGGAAGACGAGCAGGAGGAGTGGCGGAGGCGACGGCGCTTGTTGGATTTCATCTTCTTCTTCTTCTTTCTCCTCTCCTGATCAATTACATCGGTTAGTCACGAAATCGAACCCCAGAACGAGAGAGAGGAGCAAACAAATTGGAACAAGAAATTAGAAATTGATGGCGGAATGAAATGGGGAAGGAAGACCTCATCGTCGGAGTTCTTCTTGGAAAGCCTCGGTCCGACGGCGGCGGCGTCCTTCATCGGGCGGAACTGCTAAGGGAGAGATCGAACGCCAGGCCGAGAGAGAGCGAGAGAGAGAGAGAGGGATAAAAAGGGAACCCAAAGTGGCCTATGAGGGGTGCGGGGGACTCAGTCGGTTACCCAAAACGGTCCGATTCATAGTGGACAGTTGTGATCGTCGTAAAGATCGATGGCATTTTCGATATAGAAGGCAAAATCAATGGTGAAGTTGTCATCTTTTTTCTATTGATGAGATATAAGTTGCAACTGGAAATTAGAATATTACATAAGCTCGGAGGCTAATGTGAATGGATGATGTGATGTGGAAAAGTGTTTTCCACATATGTGCGAATTCTAAAAAAAACAGGTTTTTGTTTTTTATTTCCACATACCATTTTTTTAAAAAATAGATTAATGCCAAAACGAATACATAATTGGCTGATCAATTAGTCGCATTGTTATTTTCCTTAAATGCTCCTATTTTACATATCTCAATAATATATTTCCCTTTTTTTGTTTTTCCTTCCCTCTCTTTACCACCAATTCTTTCTTGCGCGGATTCGACGGGATAAGAACCGATCCAATAGACTAAACTGAATAATATAAATAAAAGTCAATTATTATAATATAAGATTAAAAAAATGAGAGTGAGATTAAGATTTATAAATTTTAAAATAATAAATTATAAAAAATTATTATAAATTTATAATTTTATGTTGATACATTTTTAAAATTTTTATATATGAAAGAATTTATGTTAAATTTGAATCTTTTTTAGAAAATATTTTTTGAAGTTATATAAGTAAAAATTTTAGAAAAATGGTTTGTATTACAGTAAAAATATAATCTATGCTTGTGTTGCAAAAGCTGGATGCTTAGGATGCAAGCGGGTGGGCCAATCAGAACCGTTCAATTTTTCAGTGGAAAGTGGACATACGTACAGGGAGATACATACATACGTGCATTACATATTGTATGATCCTGCGTGGTGTCGTATGGGTGCGGAATCCGTTGGCCGTCCGTTTTCCTGACGGTCGACATCAGCCCCCGTGCACTTACGTTCCCGCCTCCACCTAACCAAATCTGCGGCAGTAATTGCGCCACGCCTCGACGCAGGAGACATCCGCCCGTGACACCGAAGACCGGGGTCACGTAGCGGACATGCGTCACGTTTTTAGTGCGTCTGTATGATTCCGGACGACTGTTGGTCGAATTGACCGGTTCAGCGCCGGTTCGCACCGGGCGAACCCCTCGACGCAGCCACACTCCATGATCCGGATTTCTCGCCGCGGACCCGGTCGATGCCGACACAACGGTGGGCCCTGCGACATCAACCGCACATTTCCCCCCCACCCACACCGTTTCAGAAAGATATGCTACCCCACGTCCAAGTCTTACCCGTGTCTCTTACGTGCTATGAATCGAGCCGGACCGCACTGGTTAGTGACCCAAATGGGTGTGCTGTGGTGTCCACGTTTCACGTATCTTAACGCCCTTCCAGGGTAGCGCCGTTATAGCGGAAATAGCAGAAGCTGCCGCGATGGGGGTGTCCAGACTGCCGCGTGCCACGTACACAGCTCACGAATTGGTTGTGATTTCGGCCTGTAAAGGCGCAGCAAACAAAATGACCTGCAGAGTACGATGGGTGGGACCCTTGGAAGTAGTATCACAGGGTGAACGTCGGGGGTGGGAAAAAGATGTGAGAGGACGTAGGCTGATCCCGATCGGGACGCGGGCGGCGAGGTCAGACAGTCAAAGCGCTCGTGGACTGGACCCAATCACACTTTAGTTTGCGATCCCTGCCGTCCATTCGTCACCACGTCTCGTATATAACGTCCGCAACGCTAAGCGGAGGTACAGAAGAAACGGAAACGTACGAGGGCGCGAGGAGACGCGAAGAGCCGTAATAAAGCCAGACTTGGGGTTCGTCACCATGGCGCCGAGAGGGAAGGCCACCACCGTTGGCGATGGAGAAGGGAAGGAGGCGCATTTCCGGGGTGTGAGGAAGAGGCCGTGGGGACGGTACGCGGCGGAGATACGCGACCCCAACAAGAAGAGCCGCATCTGGCTCGGGACCTTCGGCACCGCAGAAGAGGCCGCGAGGGCCTACGACGCCGCCGCCCGCGAGTTCCGTGGACCCAAGGCCAAGACCAACTTCCCCCACGCTGACGCCTGCAACGGCCCGCGCGGCGCCGACGGCGGAGGGGGCACCGGCAGCTCGAGTAGCCAGAGCAGCACCGTGGAGAACTCCGGGTCGTCGGAGGCAGCGGCAGCGGCAGCGATGCCCTCACTTCCCGCTCCGCTCCCTCCCTCGCCCGATATCAACCTCGTCTACAGGGGCCAGGGCGGGGCCCGCTTCCCCTTCCAGCCGTACTCTCCGGTCATACAGGCGGCGCAACCATTCTTCTTCCTCAACACGGTCGCCAGATCCGAAAATTTTCCTACCTCCGACGCTTCGATGACGGCGTATCACCGGCAACTGCCGCTTTGTCAGCCTACGATCATCGCTTGCTGGCATCCGCCGCCCGCCGTCACCGTGGCCGCCGTCACCGCCACGCAGAGCGACTCCGACTCTTCCTCCGTCGTAGATCGCCACCCGGACCATCGTTCTCCTCCGTCACCGTCGGCGTCGCCTAAGTCGTTTGCTCTCCATCTGGATCTCAACCTTCCTCCACCCCTGGACACAGCATAACCCCCACGACTGCGACCGCTCGATCGTCGCAGGGGCTCTTCCAGTCTTGTGATCTCAACAAACTCCCATTTCCCTTTTTGTAAATAATTAACTTGGTTTCTTCCACCGCTAAGAAAAACAAGGAGCCGTCGATCTCCGAGATCAGGACACAGATCTCTAATATAATTGGTGTTTCTTGTCGTCAATGAAACGCGTTTGCCCGTGCGTTAGCCGGCACGTCTGTGTCATGCTCGGTTCCTTTGCTTCGTTGCTTTAAGCAGAGTGCTACGTGTGATTAGTGGGCCTTTGACCGTCCATCCGGAGGAACGGTTGGTATGCTGAAGCGATTTGTCGCCACGCAGGAATGTGTCAGCGGAAGCGTCGCGCACGTGAAGGAGCCGGCGGCATCGGGGCCGCAGCTTAATGCGGGGCCCATATCCCGACGGAGAAAACAGTGGAGTACGTTTGCGGGTTTGATTTGCTCGCGTAAGAATATCTTTATTCGTAACTAGTGCGGAGGGCCCAGTGGATGGTCGAAGGCGAGTGGTGGGTTCAGGAGATGGTCCCAGCATATAAAGAAAAGCTATCTGAAACGTGGCGGCTTGCCACTGTAGCAGGACAGCACGGACCGACCGTCCTTTTATTAACATATCTAAAAGCCAGGAGCCCCGGGGATGGAGGTCCAGAGCAACTGCAGCTCCAACTCGCCACTCTCCACATTTCTGAGCCTGAGGATGACGTCCTGCACAACCCTGCCATCTTTCCAGGCAATGGGACTCTCATCAGCAAAGCAGTTCTTCCTGTTGGGCTTCACGGTGGTGATGATGGTGCCATCGGGGAGGTCGGACAGGTTCATCTTCACTGCCTCCACAAACGCCTGGATATCGATCTCGGCGTCGCCCATCTTGTCGTCGGGGGTGAACGTGTCCTTGTCGTAAACCTTCTGCAAAAGGTTCGTGGAAATCAATCAGAAACACCACATAAGTCCTCTCAAGTTTCGCTCTCTCAGTTCGACTTTGTTTCGTGCAATGGAAGACCGGAGAATTCATCTTCTCATCGGTACCTTCTGCACTACGGTAGTCCGAAACAATTCGTAGAGAGAACATGAAAGAGGAAATTATCCAAATCTTCTGATGAATTTACGTAGAAGGATAGTAAGATTGAAAGCAGAAACAGATAGATACATACAATCGTAATTGGTTGAATGGGTTCTGAGACAGAAAGAGTCAGGTCTTCATTCCAAACTGGATTGACATTGTGCTTCTTAACGCTAGTCTTCAGTTTCTGACCAACAAAAGGATAGGTAAGAAACAGATGAATCATCGTCTCTACTAAATGAAATGTTTATGAAGCTAAAACAAGATTAATATGTAGAATTGCTGAGTAGAACCGCCACTGAAAAAACCTGTTGAGAAACAATATATCAAGCAGGTTTCGATCATCTCAGACATCTTCCATAATATACAATATATGAGATGAAGAACCAATAGAACAAATCACAACAAAATCATTTCGATCATCTCAGCATCAAATAGAACCAAGATAGCCATTGTTTTTATCAGATCCATGCGTAATCTATATCCAGAAGAAAAATCTAAACAAATCACAACAAAATCATTGCGATTGCTGTTGTGGGAAAATAATCCCCAATCTGCCTCAAAAGTGGAAGAAAAGAAGAAAAATCTGTGTCTGGAAAATACAGATCTGGAAATCGCTCCCATTAAACTCGTTCAAAAGCAGGAGGTAATTAAATACGTTGGATGAATCATGATAATGTGATACGAAAACCAATCAAGACTCTGAACGCGCAAGGAGAAATCCAGAATATAAGGATCTCTGAGACGAAAAGGATGAGAGGAGATGCGATATGACCTGATGGCCCATGCGGATGACGACGTAGGGGTCGCTGCCCGTGGCGTCACGGTAGGCCAAGTTAACACCCCTCAATACCTTCACCTTGAGAAGCCCCAACAGATTCTCCATTCTCTCTCTCTCTCTCTCTGGTTGTCGATCTTCTCTCTTCCAAGAACAAGGATGAGAAGAGGAAGAAAGACAAGATGGAAAGAGGAAGCGAGGGAGGGGTGTCAGTTATGACCGACGAAGGAGACGAGCCCGGGGAGCTTAAAAGGGCAGCGAAGAGTTGACGTGGCTTCGCGGGGCCCCGTATCGGGAGGACCCACTCAATATCCGGATGGACCCAGTCAAACAGATGTGAGCCATTCGATTCGGCCACCGGCATTTCGTGCACTATAATTTCTTTCCTTTTTTCTTTATTTTTGTCATTTACGCGAAGGCATCGTATTGATTGTTGCATGTATATGATTCATGTACTGAATTGCATTTTTGTCATCTACAAAGATGTATTGCCCGTATCGTAATCATTTTAATTTTTTAAGATTTTTTTATTATTTTATTTTCAAAGGTAAAATGATGATGAATACGGTATAGGGTTTTACGATAAACTATCATAGTCTTTACCAACTAAACACACGTTTCAAAATATATCAGATGAAATTTCGAATCCTAAATCCTTTTTAATAAGTGGGATGATATCTATTAATTGATAATACACATAATGAGTTTACATTCAAATTGACAATAATAATACTTTTAAAAATATAAAAATATAATATTAAAGACATGATTTGGTACATCATTGCACCTTCCAAAATATTAAAAATTATTTTTCTAGTTTTCTAATGTATTTTAGGTATTTAAAATTTTATTTTATTTGTAAATTCAATCGAAGTCATGATTTGTAATAGTAAAGCTATTTGCAAGAAATTTAAATGTTTAGAAGTGTATATATGGGTAAAATCTAAATCCATGGAAGGATATATATATATATATATATATATATATATATATATATATATATATATATATATATATATATATATATATATATCCTCAAGGATGGATATATAAAGCCTCAAAAGAAAAAGAAAAAGAAGGAGAAAGAGAGAAGATAGGAATCAAATGACTTTAGCTTAATTGCAACGTGTAAAGTGATACGCAACAGGCAAGTTGGTAATCTGATCGCTTTCCCTTTCCTTTTAACCCTCATCTTTCTTCCCTAATCCTTGGCATTGTTGCTGCAGAGGTAAGCAGTTCTTCTTCTCCATGCTATCTTATCATTGAGTACGCTTGTTGTCACTCTTAAGCTTCTGTTTTCATCACGTAGCTCTCATACAATGCAACTGAGCATCAAACTAGTTGGATTCATCTTGCTTGTTCTGAACTTTATTTAGGTCAGTACTCTGTGAGATTGTTGGCACAGACTTGATTACAACTCCCCTTTTCTTTAGTGTGTGTGTGTGTGTGTGTGTGTGTGTGGAGTATGCTTAGGAACACAATGTTGTACCCTTCAGGTGTATGTCACTTTGTCTCTGTGATTGATGCTGGCTATCCTTGTATCAGCTTTACTAATAATACCCTAGGTTTCCTGCCAAAACTTGTATTGAAGAAGATGAGCTCAAGCTGATGAGCAAGAAACACAGAGAGATTCCTATGTTCATGAACTCTCATACCATGGCAGAAACCCTGCTCATGTCTGGAAGTAGAAATGCTGGAGTGCACTATGATTGGGTGATTTTGAGCTCAGTAGACAATTGCCTCCAACTTAATCCACCAGTCAGCCAAGCTTTCATATAGACTATACTGGCAAGATAGGTATATGCAGCAATACATATATCTATGTAATAAAAGTTCTGGAGTAGCAACCAGGCAATAGAAGTTCAGTAGAATTTACATACATGAAACTAAAAGAAGATCAAATATTACATATCTCAAATATTATGCATGTTAGAAGGTTTCGGATTATGATTTTTCATTTACTGAAGCTTTTTTATTCCTTTTATATATTGCTTTCAGGAGCCTATGTAGGTGGGTTTTGAGGATTTATATGAAATCACTACTGATCTGTTTTTATAGGTGCTGTATAGTTTGTGAAATGTATGCAACCCTTCCCATCTCTCAGCAATTTCATTTCAGCTAAAATCAGACTTTGTTACCCCATAGTGCATTGGTTCTCATGCCATATGATTCATTGGAGGAGATATATTTCCACCAGTCAAAAGTACATGTTTTGGCCTAATTTGTGGTATTTTTAGTACATGGAATAGTCATAAATGTATCAAACTCATGACAATGTACTTATCTTCTATTGTCGAGAAGTGACACAGCATGCCCTGTTCTCTTTCTTTCTGAAGGAAAAGCCACAAAGATCAAAGCCACACAAACCAAGAAATAATACCACTTGAATTATTCATCTGAAACTGGAATTCAAGCACAAAAAAAATAGTCTGTAACATGCTGCTCTCTGTGTGGCTGCAGTTGATCCGGAAGCTGGAAAACCTCATCCGGTGAATCTTGATCAAGCAAAAATGGTGACTATTCAATCTTTACTTGTGCTTGGAATGGGTTTTTCTTTGATTTGAGGTGAGAAATAGTGCTTACCTGCATTCTTTCTATGGTTTCGAAGAATGAATCCCAAACAGGGGAAGTCTTCATCAAGATTGGACCTCACGGAACTGCGAACGGCGATGAATGGGATGATGGGTGCCTTGATGGAGTAAGAGAGATCTTCATATGGCATGACTCAAAAGCATGTTCACTTCAGTTTGTGTATGATTCTGATGGACAATCGGTGTTGTCGGACAAGCATGGAGATGAAGATGGAGTGAATTTTGACACGGTAAGACATCTGAATATATCTCATCCTTTATTATTATTATTATTATTTTTATCATGTCTGAAGTATTATGTGAGTAAAAGATTATTTCTAGTTAGTTAAAAGATTGCTGGATGAATTTTTTGAAAATATTATAAGGTTTTTTGGATCACTTTTATCTTTCATTGCTGATTCACTAGTCAATGCTGTGTTACCCAAAGTTACTTTATGCGTCAAATTGGACTTCTTATTGTTACATCATTTCTTTGAGGACAAAAAATTGAATTAAATGGGACTATAATTCTTGGTAACCACTTTTCTAGTAAAGACAATCAGTACTAACATGAGAATATTAGGAAGGAATCCTTTCTGCTCAAAATAGTTGATGACATGAAAATATGCTAAGAGAACTTACTATACATATTGTAATGAAAAAGTCAAACAATTATTATTTGTAATAATAGGGGAGAGAGAGAGAGAGAGAGAGAGAGAGTTACTTTGTTGTTGTCATTACTTTTACCTGTTTAACATTATAAATATATTTGTGATTTTGGTGTAATTAAATGCTATTTTATCTCAATTTTAACATGCAGGGATAATTTTGGTCAAATTTGGTCTGTGCAGATTGAACTGGAATACCCTTCGGAGTATCTGACAGGCCTACGCGGTCAGACCCGGAGATTCCAAGGATTTTTGACTTCCCTCATGTTCTTCAGCAACAAAAGAAGTTTTGGGCCCTTCGGATACTGGGACAATGACAGAGAAGCTGACTTCCAATGGAAGGTGATGGGCAACAAAATTTGTGGGTTTTTTGGGCGAGCTCAACCCTCTTCCCTCACTGCTGTGGGGATTCATCTCAGAGCCCTGCCCAAAACTTCATGAATGAATGAAGCTGAAGACCATTAGTGCAACAGCTTCACTTCGTGTCAGTGTCGTCTCACACTTGTGTGCCTGACTACATGGTGTTGTGTTCTTTCAACTCAGTTTGCTGGTGTTCAAGCTCAGAATCTTTATCATAAACTATTAAAAGCTTTTACTAAATAAGTTAGTGGATACCTTTGCCATGTATGTCAACCCACCGTATCTCCATGAGTGGTGAGCAGCATCGTGATCAAAAGACAGCTCCAGAGACATAAGGGCGACAGCCATGAGGGTAAGAACAGAAGTGAATCCTCTCACTGTGGACAAGAGAGCACACAATTAGTTGGCGGAAAGCAACATGGCTTCAGCATTCAGCAAGTGAATTTTATTGGGAGAAACATTAATGTCACCTAATGCTGCAATACTGAATCGTATTATCACAAACAACTTCCAAGTCTGGATGCAAAAAGCACAGGCGGTTGGAGCAGTACCATGATCATGAATTTGAGGGAACTTAATAGCTCCATAAAATACTTGAATTTTGCATAATCATCATCATCATCTGCAAAAGAAAAAAAAATAAAAAAGTTCAAATGAATAAAAGCAAATAACATGTATTTACTGATGATTCCCATAATCATAGTTTATAAACCGACCATATTCGTAGGTACAGACATGTATTTACTGACCCGAGGATGAGTTAGCATGCAAGCTGTACCGGTTCGGAACGCATGTACCATCAGGTTCGCTTTTGAAGCCAGCAACCCTCTTTACTCTATTATGAAATATGAGCATTATATGTGACTTAATATGATGCATTATATTATACACCAAAGTGTTGTATCTATATATATATTCTTTGGATTGGTCTCAGATTTTCTGCTACCCCTAAACCAACCAAAATTTTTTGGGCAAATTAGATCTTTGTCCCAAAAGAGTATCTAAAGAGGGTTTTAAGAGCAATCATAGTGATCCTTTGTTCACTAATTTTATCCCTACAATATTTTCTTAATTCAATTGATAGTCATTCATTTAGAGATGATTAAATTAGAGTGCATGTTAGATGACTAAAACCAAATTATGTTGAAGCCATATGTTCTTATCGATAACCTGAGAAGGACCTACTAATTAGTCATATTTAGAGGAAAAAGATAGTATCAGACTAATTTATCAAATGATAGGCTCAATGGAATAGCAAAACAACAGCTTATAAATATGCTTCATGAGCATTTCCCTATGTGAACTAGGGAATTGCAAGAACTATGAACTAAGATCCTCCTGATCAATATGCGGAATCTGCATTAATTCTGTGTCAAGTTGCAAAATATGTGATTTTAATGAGCACGACTGATTGATTTGATGAATTTAACAAAGAAACAAGCATCAACAACCTTTCACACAAAAATGACCTAGAGATTCATAATTGAGTAGAAATAAGGCGAAAAATCTTGGATGGTAAGAAACTTTTGTAAAAACATAAAACAATAACTTGATTGGCAAAACAAATTATCAGCATCTGCCACGAAAGATTGAAGCATAAGCATACCAGTCTATTTATGCAATCCATTCATTTTAAAAGTAAGAATCTAACAGGCATTGCAGATGGGATGAATGACATCCTCAATCATTTATAAGTTCTATTGGGCTGAGCAACAAGCATACCAATAACAAATAATGAGTAAATTCCACAGGTTATTCTAATGTTCTCCAATTCATATGCCATATTTCCTTGCACTTATTTTCCTTAGTTTGTTTCTCGATAATATTCACTTCTGCAAGCGCATTATTCATGCAATTCACAATCTTCGCTTTCAACACACGTAAACACTCACTCTTCTTCCATGGCGTGTTGTGTTGCCATCATAGTATTCCACTAGCCTCCGCTAACACCACCTCATTTCAGATTATCAGTATTCCCAATCCATATTGCACAAACTTTCTATACTAAATACCCTCAAAGTGAGAGTTCACAAAAAGATCAACATTCTCTTGCGTCGAGTGGTGCTATCGAGAGTTCAATAGTGCCTTCACTATGTCGAGATTATTCTATCATGCTAAATATGCAGATGGCCAATTGGTGAATAAGCTTTCACATCCTTTGGCTTTCAACAAGTGGATATAATTGATGATCTTCCATTGTATGCCATTTTACGATCTCTAATCTTCCGATGGCTTCCACCAATTCCACCTCGCGTCAGATGATCAACATCTTCCGCTCCATCTCCCACAAAAAACCCTTGTTTCCTCACAAATCCTCGTGCCATTAACAAGAATTACCAGTAAATTAGGCTTTCGGATTCCGTTGTGGCATACACAAACGACCAAATTCGAGACTAAGAAAGCGATAATGCAGTAGAGGGAGCAGCGAGGAATGTGACGAACCGAAGTATCTGCGTTCATTGGCGACCTTGGCCTTGTCCAGCATCTTGTCGAGGTCCCCCTTGAGCTTCTCGTCCCCACTTCACGAGCTGACTGACGAAGACGGCCCCCAACCCCATCCCCAGGACGTGTTCCCACGGATCTACAGCAGAAAGAGACCGATTTCACCCGCTAAGATCAAACGGAAGAAAATCCCGATCGACAAGAGGAGGAGGACTAGAGTTGGAGGCGAAGAAGAAGACGGCGTACGTCGCATGTAGTGGAGCTTCCGGAGGCCGTTGGAGTACATCTGCGTGCCAACAAACCTAGCAGGTCTCCCCCCATCGTCGCTGTGGCCGGCATTTCTCGTTCTCGTCGCCTTTGGACGTTAGACTCGATGATCGAGTTCGAGTCCTCCCCTCTTGTAGGGTATCTTTGGGGCTCCTCGAAACGGATTCGGGCAAGTAGACGGACCCGAACCGAACCCATAACGTTATTTCACCGATATTTGGGCCAAATCTTATATTATTTTAAAGCTCACGTATTGACATGACGATCCTTAAAAAATAATAAAAATATTATTTATTATTTACTATCCTAATATTACCGATTTTATTTTCTTTTTCTTTTTCATGACCCCTTATTATTTCGCTCATCACTCTTTCAATTGATAGAGGAAGAAGAATAAAAAGAAAAAACAATTCCAACTGAAACCTTTCAAGCCATCTGTTGCCGTAAATTAAGAGCATAATTGTGAGACAATTTTCTGGCATTTACAGCCATCATCATCATCTACTTCTGCAGCCATTAATGCTCTTCTTACCCATCATCTAGGAATAAACAATCATTTCATCGTTGCAACTAGGGTTCTTCGTTCCTTGACCTCGATGAAACTAGACCCTCTTCTCTTCTTCACAAACTTTTCATCCATCAATCTTCTCACTCGCTCCACATCGTTCCACTTGCCTCCCAGAGCATACAAATCAGATATGAGAGTATACACTCCACCATCTTCATCAGGCACGGCCATGCTCAAAACCTTCTCTAACCCCTTCTTAGCAATCTCAAAGTTCTTGTGCTTCCTGCAGGCCGCCAAGAAGCAAGTCCAGATGACGATGTTGGGTTCGGCTCTCATGTTCTCGATGATCTTATACGCATCCTCTAACCTCCCGGCCTTGGCGAAAAGATCAACCATGCATCCGTAGTGATGAATCCCAGGCTCGTATCCGAACTCCTCCACCATGCTCACATAATATCTTCGACCCTCCTCTATCAGTCCGGCATGGCAACACGCATTGAGGACCCCCGTAAAGGTGATCTCATTGGGCCGCACACCGGCTTCCCGCATTTTATCGAAGAATGCAACCGCGTCGTTGCCGTGACCGTGCGTAGCCAATCCGCAAATCATCGCAGTCCAGTGCATGACGTTCCTTTCGGGTATTCTCTCGAACACGTGAAACGCGCTCTTTAAGCAACCCGACTTGGCGTACACAGCAATGAGCGACGTCCCGAGATGCACATTGATTTCCAGCCCATGCTTCTCGGCGTACGCGTGGATGGACCTCCCCATCAGCCGCAGCGAACCAGTGCTGGAGCAGCCGGAGAGCAATGTCACGAGCATTAGCGGGTCGGGCTTCAGGCGCCCGTCGCTCATCATGTCACGGAAGAGGGCGAGGCCGATGGCGCGTTGGCCTCTCTCCATGTAGGCACCGATCATGGTGGACCAGGTGGCGATGTCCTTCTCGGGCATGGCGTTGAAGAGGGTGCGGGCGGCGGAGAGGTCGTCGCCGCGGGCGAGGCAGGCGAGCATGGTGTTCTCGGTGACGACGTTTCGGTGGGGGATTTCGTCGAACAGGGCACGGGCGCCGACGGGGGAGGAGAGGGCATAGGCGTGTAGGAGGGCGGATGCGACGTATACATGCGAACAGAGGTTGGTCTTGATGAGGTAGGCGTGGAGGTGAGGGAGGAGGGCGGCGAGGGGGGCGTGGAAGCAGGACTTTAACGCGAAGACGGCGGCGTGAGTCTCGAAGGGGTCGTCGTGAAGCCCTTGCCGGCGTCGGACACGGAGCTTGAAGAGAAGGAGAGCTTCGCGTGGGGACGAGGCGGTTCGGATAGCGGAAGCGGAAGCGGAGGCGGATGCGGCGGCAGCGGCGGAAGGCCGGTGGAAGACATGGGAGAGAGGGACGTGGGCTAAACGATGGAGTTCCAGGTTTGGCATTTGGCGGGAGGGTGGACTTGAACCCGCTCAACGTTATAATCCATTTGGTAAAATTACATATGTATCCCTCCAAAGTGTTTGACTGTGACCATTAATCAAAATTTTATTTTATATTTTTATATGATTATTATTATTATTTATTTATTGGACATCTATAAGAGATATAATATTTTCTTACCAAATAATAGATTTATTGGCCAGTTGAGATTTATTAGGATTTCTACTTTTGTTATTACATATTGTAATTGTAACTAATATAATTTAATTACGTAATATAATTATTATCGTCTGTCTAACTAATATAATTTAATTACATGTTTTATCGAAAGAAAATAAAATTTAAAGTAATGTAGAGGGCAGAGACATTTCATCTGCGAACTATGCGTCTTCCCCGTGCATGGCAATGGACGTTTATTAGATGTCATACAGGCACGCATTTTCACAAACAGATGGTAGGGATGAACATTTGCAGGTGATCACTTCCCTCGGAAGCCAGCCATGATCTCCTTTGGGGGGATGAAGCAGTCCACCGAAAGCCCTGCAACATCGAACACCACGTCTTCGATCCTCCAAGCCTCCTCCATCCTGATCCTGCTCCGCCGCGCAGATGCGTCGCCGAAGCGGAGAACCGTGGCGGCGGACCTCCCTTGGTGAGCCACGAGCACTCCGTCAACCTCTCTGTAGTCCTCGATAACGCTTCCGATGGTGGTCTCCCAGTACATGGCGTCGGAGCCCGGGGCTTCGACTCTGGCGAGGTGGGAGTCCTCGATGTAGGTGAGCAGACCGCTCCTCTGGCTGAAGTATCCATGGAGAACGTGCCTGATTACCTCAGCCGGTCCGTCGCATCTCTCGGCGACCGCAGCTCGATCTGCTGATACTTTTAGCACGAAGCAGTTGTCGCCCCTGATGCGCTTCTCGCCGACGCACCGGGCTTCGGCGAACATTCTCGCCGTGCTCTTCGGGTCCAACCCCTGTGATCAGTGCAAGAAGCATGACGTGAACAGAGAGTTGGCCGCAAATGTTAGTAGCATTAAAGCAGAGAAGGAAGCAAAGACGCAGTGAGGCTTCTCCTCACCTGAACGAGTCGCCGCAGCGGGCGCTGCGGGCCCCTGGCTGCGTGTGTTCCAAGCCATGGCACGCTCCTCCACACCACCTTGCCGTTGCTACCGGAAACCACCTTGTGGCCGGCCACCACAAGCTCCACCGACCACATCCCCGGCGACTTCTGCCACAGCACGAAGCACCCACGCTCTCCCCCCGTTCTCGGTGGCTCATGGCAGACCATCTTCACGGTCCCAGCTGCGTACATGCTCTTCATGCACTGTTTCAGGCATCCTGTTGCGGCCAAGTATTGCTGAATGATGTAACGAGCCGAGCACGTTTCCTGCCATGGAAGAGAAGAATTCGTCAGCAAACTCTGGTGATGACAGACCTCACGTTGAAGTAGAGAGATGGAGAACAGAACATTACCATGGGACTATCTTTGATACAGAAGATGTGGGTTGGTGCATCAATGGTCACCGGAATGGGAGCCAATGGACACCCCAGCACTCCAAGAATGAGCCTCAGATCCGTCCTCTTCGATGCGCTGCGGGCATGGAAAGGGGTCGAGGAATGAGCCCCCGACATGGCTTTGTCCATGTGCAACCGCAGCCATGTTCTGATCACTTCCCAGTATCTCTCCTTCTTGGCTCCTTCTCCATGTGCTTCAGGGTCAGGGCCTTCCATTAGAGGCCCCAGTGGCTGCACAGAGCACACATGGTTCCTTCCTCTGCTTCTTGGACCCATGACACACCTATGATCACAAGAATGATGACAGATGAAGGAGATGCAATGAGTGAAAGAGAGAACCAAGGAGATGGTTGTTGGATCTGGTGTCTCAAATGCTATTAATATAAGAGAGAGAGACAGAGAGAGAGAGAAGGGTAGGTTCTTTTGAGCTAGAGACAAAAGGGAGACAGCCTATATGTTCCACTGGCAGGGGAATGAATTCAAAATGGCTGCCTCCCATGTCTTGGGTTTCCTCCTCATTGCCTTTAACTTTATTCCCTACATCCCTTCTGCAAGGCTCTGCAGTCCTTTTCAAAATGCTACTGAGAGACAGTGATCAGCCAGTGGCTCTGCAACACTCACCCATGAGATTGGCAACACATGCTTGTGCCTCCATGTTTCTTTGTAGTCACAAACTGGTTTTCCAAAGGTTCAAATAGGGTGGCTGATGCTTGATGAAAGTGGCAAGGCAAAAGGACCAACAATGTTTCTATGAGAACCAAGAAATGGAATCCAAGGAAGGTTAGCATTCATTGTGGCATGATTTCCCTACTCCTCATCAGCTAATCACAGCTTTCCATGGGTTTTATATAGACCAGGCCAAGAACATGGTTATCAATGATGACCTTCCAAGCTAAGTAATGCATCTGATGTTAAACAGCATCTGTCACTGATGGGGCTCTTCCAGATTCACACTGAAAACTTTCTGTGGAAGATGGAGATCAAACTAAGCATGCTGAATTATTACAATAAGCTCACTCTTCTGATAGGAACTAAAGTGATTGATATCAGTTTCCTAGAAAGATTCATCACTATCAAAACAACAATTTCAGAGCATGTGCTTGGCATCAAAAGCAGCATCAGCCAACCTGAAACATTTGATTGTCCAACTTGGGACAATTTATCATTCTTTGTCTGCATTCCTTGTTCTTGGTAGCAGAGAACAACAACTTGGGATAATCTCATCCTTATCAGCACAATCATATAATTCAGGAATCATATGATTCTTCAGAGTGGACTACAGGCTCATCAGATTTTTCCCAGACTTTTAAATCATGCAGCAATCCAAAAGTCCTCCTGTTTGCAGACTGTTTGTTTTGGGCTGTACCAGAGATGAAGCTGCTGCTACTGTTGCTGCATCATCAGGAATAGGTATGAAGACTATTTTACAGCACAGATCAGTAGTAGGAAATAAAGCTTCTTAAGTAGTCCTGCAAAATAAACAAAGAAGGAAGAATATTCCATGAATAAACAGTAGTATTTTTTATAATGCATTATGCACCTCCACTAGATTATTATCATTATTTTCCTTCTTTCTCACAAAAAGATATGTAGATCATAGACTAGATTTGAAAGAAAAAGAGGAAACTGGACCCTGCCACTACTAACATCTCTTTCTGATGGAAGCATGAGGGATACAACAACAAAGAAGCAAGAATAAAAACAGTGGAGGATAAGACAATAAGTAGGCATCTTGAGAACAACCAAACTTGCATGGGTGGGTAAGGTCAACATCTTTGCCTATTGTTGTTACTCTTGTGGTCACTCAAAATGAGTGAGATTGATTCATATCAGTGAGCCAAGTTCATATTCCACCTCTATGTCTTTGGCACACCATTTTGGAAGAAGAACCATGTGTTTCTGAAATGATTGAACTATCTATGTAGGCTTAAATGCTCTCCAACATTTTTATGAGATGCACAGACCCAATATCCAATACACACAAAACATTTAGGCACTGGGAGGTGGGGGGGGGGGGCTGGGGAATTACTCCACATGCTTGAGAACATCATCCTCCTCTTCCATAACCTTAATTTACTTCAACAACAATGGACATTATAATTGATACAATCTAGGCCATCATGCATGCCATTTCTACAAGAAGGAAACCCATGCATATGATGACAAGTTACTTCAGCCGAAACAATGGACATTATATACTCAGGTCTTTGGAATGAGTACAAGTGCCAAAGTCATCACAACTGTGTAGCTCATAATCTTTCTAATTTTGGAAGAACTAGAGGGTTCTCTAGAGAGTTGGGGAATCTGACCCCATGGATTTTGCTGATGTAATAGCTAATCAGGGGTGAATGAATGTAAGGTTTTTTATTCAAAAATAATGATAAATAAGTGGATGTTATTTCTTTTAGAGAAGAAAAATCTAAACCAGATCCCTTTTCCTTCAACTTTTATCTCATTGGAGGGGTTGGAAAAGATATAGTAAGTACATATTTTTGCATTCATCCTGAGGTGTAGATTTTAATTTTTTTTCACATGTCACTATTATGTTTTTCTATTAAGACATATGTAGTGCTGCATGCTCCTCTTCAGATGCAATATAGTGTGTTTCTAAACTCACCTTGATTGAAAGCTGTTGAGAAACAACTTCTCCCTCATGTATCACAAAGCAAAGTTATTACCTGTTGAGGCTTCACTTGTATGATCTCTATCATTTCCCTGATCCTTTCTCTTACTTCTAAACCCACAAAAACCAGGCAGCAAAGATCATCACTTTGATATACAGAAAACAGGACAAGCTCATTTGGAAATCATAGTAATCAAGGGGGCAAGGTTATTCCAGACACATCAAAGAACAATTTCCATTATAGGGAGTCACTAAAAACAAAAGAACCATACCAATAGCATCAGAACTCAAAAGAATTTGTACAAAAGAAAAAAATTACACACTACAAACATAGACTCAAACATGATGAATACACAGAGGCCACAAGGCTGGTAGCTGACCTGGAACTGTTCAGTTCAATTTCCAAGCATAAACATGACTCGCTCAAGCATTAGCTTAATCTATGAAATACTAATCTAAGTTGTGATGCCAGTCAATGATGCTTTCATATGCAAGGAATTGATCTTTGGATTCTCACGGTTACTGAGTCCACAAAAAGAGAACTTGATAGCTGCTGTGATGCTGCAGTATTTGATGTATCTTTCTTGAACCCAGTTGGTGAATAGCTATTTGGCAGTTGATTTTATGTCCAACTGAATCGGAAGGTTACATCTGGTGTTTTAAAAGGATGTCATTTTCCTGCTTCCCAGTTCTGATTTGTCTAAAGCAACAAGCCTCCTTATCCCTTCTTTACCGGTGAGAAATAGTGAACGATACTGGAACCTTTTCTAGATGTATTTGCACGTTTAGGTGGATGAAACCATTCTCGGATTTCTCTTTGTATTTCCATAGGTAACTCATCTAGAACAGATGGATCGATATTTTCCATGTTGATTCCCCATGTATATCCATTCCGAGTCTGGTTGTGATGACCATCACTGTCAATGCGATCCTCTGAAAATCCTACTTGTTCATCTATTTGTTCAAGATCTGAATGTTCCTCACATTCTACACGAGGAAGATAACAGCTTATAATTATGCAAGAATCACAAAACAACAGATAACAGGTTTGAAAATGGTGTCCCATTACCAGGAAATGATGACGAGGATGCCTGATCCAGAGAAGATCTTTCACAAGCTTTATTCATGGTATGAAAAGAAGAATTACTGCTTTGAAAGAACTTTAAGATAGAAGATTTCCGCTGGCAACTCCAGAAACAGGACATCAGATGCAGCCAAGGACCATACAAACAATGCATCTTAGATTACATACTTCCAGAAATTGCATGTAATTCATTCTATGATGTCAATTTGGTATATAAGAAACTATGCAAATATTGTGTTGCAACTCACATTCAGAAAAGAAACAAAAGATAAGCATAGTAGTTTGAAGACAACGATATGCTGTACTAAAGGACACTATGTCACCAAGTTTCTAGTTGTAATACATGTTCTATATATCCTTAAAAATGAAAAAAAAAAAAAATCCTAGCTCATGCTCAACAGATCTGGATGCTTCATCTAAAATAGCTCCTGCATTATCAGCCACAGGACCTTCATATTGCAAAAGAAATTACACAGGGACTCCGTAGTCAATAATGTGCAGGTTTGCAAATCATTAGGATGATTTGTAGTCAGCATAAGAACTAAAAATTTTAGATAGCTAATAAAAATCAGAAACAAAGCATTTAAAAGGGTTATTGCGGGGTGCCCAAGAAAAAATCTGTTGTTCAGATTTTTGTTGCAGCCAACAAACAATATCAGAAGATTCTGATGTCCCAAAATTCTTCAAGTGATATGCATATATTTCAAGTCCAAGACATGCTTCTAGGTAGATATGCTTCTTCAAACTAAGAATAAGCTATTGTTGTTGTATAGATCAACTAGCTGCTATATCTAATTGTTTTCTTGTGTGCATGGTTACCAACAGCAATTTACTAGGCTACTTATGCTAGTGCCTAATCAACAAACAAGCTTCTGACATTACCATGTAAGCGCATGGACCAATATACAAATATAAAATCATGCAAACAACCATTAAGTATCACTAGTACATATAAATGTGAATGCATATAATTAAATATGAAAATATTAAATAAATCCATGTATACAACAAAATATATAGATAGCTTGGTTTGAGATCAATATGGTGCATTATTAATCTTGCTTTTTGAGTGCATATGCTTTTATGAACTATAATGCCTCTTTCAAATTACTTCAGATATCAATATTCCTACAGAAAGTTATAATATACTAAAATAGAGAATATAAAAATCAGAAGGGAGCACTTACTGCATCTACAAATCAGTTACCAAAAAGGATCAGAAAACCTACTTTTTTTTTCTTGAAATTGACCTAGGGCCTCACCTAGGTGCCTGGGTGTTGCCTGGGCTTTATGATATTGAAGGTCAACCCACCTCGACTTCTTGACAACTATGATTGGACCAATGCCCAGTGGTGCAGAAAAGACACTTGCAACCATTTTTGAGTTTCCAATGTTCCAGTTTGAAACATCAAACTTAGAGCTTAGAGGAACTTTTAATTTACATGGGAATGACCTAGCTTCTGTCTCAAAATGTGGATGACTATGGCTACTAAAGTCCACAACACTTTCGAGTTTGGACAGGAAAAATTTAGACAGACTCTTTCTACCATATTAAAACATAAAACAAAATTTTGATTCCCAGATCTTATTCTGCAGATATCTTTCAAGAATTTCCTTCTGACCAACAGGACAAAGAAGAATACAAACTTATACTATTTAGCATGATGAGTCAAAACACAATGCTGCATGGTTGGCATATAATAATAACAGTCATGCCCTTTGAATCTGTTCAAATGATAAGGGCATGGCTATCAAAGTTCCACATCAACCGTAAAAGATCTTCATGATTCACCTACCATGTAAAATACCACTTTTTATATAAAAATTAGATAGTCATCATAGTCTTGTTAAACACAATTGGATATGTCAACATACCACATCTTTTGTCTTTCCAACCGATGAGCCTATTCTCTTTAGAGGTTTGGCTTGAAATATTGTGTCAATATCATTGCTAGCTGCTTCAGAAGCAAGTTCCTTATGTTTAACTTCTTCATCCATCACTGTACAACCTTTGCTTTGTACATCATCTGTGACATATCAACAGCAGATTAAAGAAAAAGAAAGACAACTGAAAAGAAGGATATGTGGGATTGAGTATGACCTGTAGAAGACAAGGGAAGACTTTCTTTGTGAAATTCACCAGCATCACTTAATGAAGTGGAAGAAGGAATTTTGCCTTGGAGAAATTTCAGAATTGAACATGTTCCCTATCAAAGGAAAAATGGAAAAATAAACAGCCAAATCCTGATGCACAACATTTAATTTTTAATTTAATGTTCTTTTCAGTGAATTAGCCATGCTAATACCAAACACCAAGTACTTCAATTATTCAAGTAGTTCCATAAGAGAATGCTGGATAAAATATCTCCAATTAACATCATCCATAGAATCTACATACTAAATCTGATGCATAATGAACAGTAACAAAAGAACAAGTTATTGAACCAATGAACAAAACATACACAAAGATGATACAGGAAACCACCTCTACAGTGTTGTTAAGAAGATGTACCAAAAAATTGATAAGCTACACATTGTTTCTATAGCATCTCAAAACAATAATTTGCAATTGTCAAAGTAACATCTTTCAAGAAGATGGATTGACTGTAGATGCCCAGTCGAGGATAAATTTTTTATATACCAGGTGGAGGTGTAAAATCTGCAGACAACACCTAAATAAACCACTCCTAAAAGTCAATCCCAGAAATCTCTAGAACATTGGAGAATACATGATTGTTTCTGCCTTGCAACCATGTCTCACAAACTTGGTGATGTCCTTGGCAAAAGAGGAACTCCCTTTTTTAAGTCATACTTGGTTAAGCCTTTTGAAGATAGAACGTCATAATCAGTAGGAGCTGGTGCAGTCAGAATGGGTGGTAGGCTTTAGAAGTTCCTTTATTTAACTTTCAGTTTGTGCATGCAGAAAGAGCAAGATACAGCAAACAAAAGACTTAAATAGGATAATGTGTGTGAGATACATACGTACAAATGATAATATGAGGAGCAAAAATAAGAGCCTACTAGCCATAAAAGGCGTTCCAATTCACTGATAAAGTTCAATCACAAAACTAAGCATTTCCTGCTAATCCCTTATAGAAGCATAGTTGTTTTCCAAGCTACTACAGGACTTCTATAACAAATTTGGAAGAAACCTAACCTGCCACTAGCATTTTTGTTAGGAATCAAATCCTCGTAATGACTCTATTGGAAAGAGGCAACGGACAAAGTATTCATCCTTATACTATGTCTTTAGCCATCGAAGGACTCCGTCTGAGATAAGGACAAATACACACTACACATGGCTAACAAAACCCTGTGGATTCCAAGCTGAGTCATACTTCGCCTGTCCTTTCCCAAACTTGATGCACATCCAACAAACTGATTGTAATGGGATACAATAAATCCAATTCAAAACAGTCACAAAATTGAACTGCTCAAACCCCCTTACAAAACAATTAAAAAATAAATAAATAAATAGCTCAGCTAAAGGTAATAAAAGATATAAAAACAAATGGGGTTAATTAGACATGACATCAAGCTTTTAGGTCAGAAAGCACGAATGCTATTTTCTTGTGAAAAATCATATCGACATGACATATTGGAATGAAATGATCCCAGATCTTGATCTTCAGAACATAACAATGTGTTTATCAATTATCAATTATCAATTATCAACCATCGAGCTGCATCATTAATCTTTAATATGACCTTGAGACTGGAATCAACATAAAACACAATCTAGGTCGATGAAGCACTTTCAATATGATGAGCAATTACATGAATATTCTGGCCCCAGAAGTAGCAGTCTCAACTAAGCAAAAAGACAATAGTAAGTGATATTGTGATCACAATATCACATCATGCAAGAATGACAAACTGACAATATGAAATGTTAGAATATAGATGCTACAGGCTTACTTGTGGTAAATCTGATATTTTACTTGCTGCAATGGAAAGAGATGTTATTCCCCAACCAACGTGTTGGGAACCCAAAAAATCACGAAGACCAGAATCAAATAATTTCACTGCATCTTCTTGGATTTTTGTAGTTCCATAGCGTAAGGGACAGGATTTTGATGGAAATTTCCTTTGGGGTTCCATATCATTTTCCTAAAGAACACACATAAAAATAAATGACTAATTAATTGTCTCTAGAGAAGTATGCATGCATGCACATTTATGCAGAAAGCACAATCTACAAGGACAACCAAGTAAATGCTTCAATAAGGTACCTTGAATGCCCTAGCATGTAATGTCAGCGTATGTGCAATGCGCCTGTTCTGATCCAAGTCAGACTGAATACGTTCGCTTAGTTCATCACACAATTGATTGACCCAGTTTTCAACCTATGTCAACTCCAGCATAAGAAGGAAAAGAAACAGAACAGTTATGAAAAGTGAACAATTTTCTGTGTCACCATCACTCCAGGATAAGAAGGAAAAGAAACAGAAGAGTTATGAAAAGTGAACAATTTTCTGTGTCACAACACCTGGACATCTTGGTAAACCAGTCAACATAAAGGACCAATTAGATAATAGTAATGTCAATTAAACATCAGCTCTATTGATATGGCACGAGATTATTTTAACCACAGAACATACATAACACTGTCATATTACAGTGACATGAAACACATAACTCTATGTAGCCAGGGTGGATGAGTTACTACCACAGGGTTATCTTTGTCATATTTAATGAAATGATTGTGTTAGAGAGATTTCTATTTGCAATACTTTTTTTGTTTTTTACAACCCTACATTAGGAACTTTGAATATTCCTAAGTTATCCCTTTGTACATAGATATGCATGCCCTCAATTGTTAACTTAATTCCAATAAAATATTTTCACTCCTTACCTACAACCCCTTTTCTTCATCTTTTTTTCTTTCTTCTTCTTCTTCTCCTCCTCCTCTTGATCGCTAGAGGTGATGTAAAATGACAAAAAAAAGACAGATACTGAAATGGGATGAACTGAAGATCGAAGAGGAGGTGAGAAATAATTTTTGATATTTATTACAATGATTTAACGTTTTTAGGGTTATGTACATTCTGTAATAGCTCAGAAGGCACCATCTTCGGTCAGTTGCATTAACCCAGAAGATATCATGTTCCGAGCCTTTGCAAATTGCCCAGTAGGATGCGCACGCGGTGGGGAGAGCCGGTTGCAGTAGTGTACACAGGCGAGAGCTATGGGGAAAGAAAAAAAAAAAAGAAGGATAAAAATAGAATTATAGGGGTTGCAAATAGTAAAATATTATTTTATTAATTTTTTAAGGGATTGTGAATAGTAAGGGAGCTCTAAATAGTAAGCTCCTTGTGTTAGGCTCCTAAACAAACACTTCCACTCAAAAGAGTGCATTTTCATAATTATTATTCACAAAAGAAAAAGTAATCAAGAAAGAATGGCATACATGCATAATACCTATGGTTGCACGATTACTAATAAAATATTAGATAGAAGCAGTAGATCTCGACTCCTTGGTGTTGGCCACATGGATCTTTCTGTATCACTGAGCTCTTTTTAGGGAAATCATAGACATCTTAAGAGATGTATGAAATAAGACCATGGCACAAACTACAAACTGTGTATGGCAAGACAAGATCTTGACAATTGGTCAATCAGCTGAATATACTCATTATCTTACATGGAAAGGAAACTTCCCAACAGGAAGCTGAATGGGTGGGTATCTTAGAATACATATGTACTGAAAGAATGAAATCAATAGAAGGAAGGGAAAAGTAATTTGCATCGTGTTAGAACTTAATGTATGAAGAAACTAAAACCCTGTCAAGAAAACCAAAGCATCTATAAATTATCCTGTCTGCTACGTGATATCAAATAAATCAAACTGGAATTGTAACTGCAGAGAACTTTCTGGAGGACTCTAATTCCCCATAATAAAAGGAAGCACATAAACCACAAATTCATGTTTAAAGCAACATAGGAGGAATTCAAAAAGTGAAGAAGGCTCCTATATAAGTAAAAAATGCAAGTTGCAAGTCACTATAGGCCAAACAAAGACATGCTTTTACAACTAAATAGATGCAGGCATTAAGTATTTCATTTTGGATGATCAAGAGAATACATACAGAGGCAATGGTTTTCAATGCTTGTGGTCCCGGAAATGTCTTTCCACAACCATGGCTTTTTGGTAGAAGACGGTCCACAACTGCATCCCCACTAATACCTCTTGAAATATTCCACAACCATGTGCTAGAATTGGAAGAAGAAAAAGTTAAGATGCAGCGATAGCAAAATTAAACTAACATAAAGGTGGATATGACTCTTACAGGGATTAATAACAAAAATAACCTTTTTCTTATATACAACAATCTGAACAGACGAATCTATCAGTATAAAATCATTTGCAAGTTACAATATCATAATATCATATGTATTTGTTGCCACATCAAAGCATTTTTTGCTCAAGGTTCAGTTGTCATTATATTTAATGTATGTCACTATGTCCTCGTACTTCTAACCCAGACATGAAGTAGAAAGGTATATCACAGAAGTACATGAAAATTTGTCCAGACTTTAGACTACTTTCAAGCAAGGAATCAAATACCAGCTGCTACAATATGCATTGATCAGTATTTATCAATCAGACCATATAGGTCGGTACTGGCTGGTATTCATTTTTTTATTGTTTTTCTCTGTGGATCCGTATACCGTCTGACACACCACTATTGCACTAGTATGGCTGATTACGGTAACCAGCACCAGTTCAACATTTAATTCCTAGATTTCAAAAACCAGGACCATAAGTGGCCCGAGGAAAATGCATGTAGTTAAGTCCAAATGTTATTACATTCTCCACCTAGCCTTAAGGAATTGGATATTAGATGCATATGTCATAATACTATATTCATATTACCAGAATATGTGTTTCATATAATGCGACAATATGTGTACCTAAAACATGTCATTTGTTGTTTCAGAGAACTCATCATAATAACCTAGAATCTAACATAGAATGGCTAGATAGAAATAGCCATACATAAATGCAAAGCACATTCAGACGTCATTTATAACAATCAAAGACCTACAAAAAGGACTAAGCAAATATTACTTGCCCCTATATGGAGTATCTAGGATTTCTTTCATGCACATCTTACGTGGGCCTTATGATCTTGGGTAGTCATATAAAAACAAATAACCTAAACAACATCTTCAGGCTAGTTCTTTTAAAAAAGATCCACATCATTACAAAAAAATATTTCAATTGTAGTCCACATCCATATTTGCTAGTTACCACTATTGTTCAAAATTTTCAGATCCAATATTCTGGTCATGGTTTGGGGGGCTCATAAGAGTTAGATTATAGTAGTTGAAGAGTCTAATTAAGGATGTTACGACTAAGTAGGGAGAGATATGTTATGTCAAGTTTATGGAAGCAATCCCCCAGAATGTGAACGAGAAAGACTTCATAATAAAAAGAACGAACCAAAAAGGATTTTTTTTAATATGGTTAGGCCTTAAGAACAACATTTTGATTCATTAGCTTTTTTGAGCTGATACTTGATAAATAATATTTGGTATGAGATTTTGCTTCATGTATGTATTTCGCATATAAAAAAGTAGTGAACAAAAGCCCACCAGTAGGAAGATCAGTTACCATAGATATTTGATAAAAAATGTGTGTGACAGTATAATTCATGCAAGATAGTCTGTGAAAACACTAATAATGCATTATATATTGTCAAGATATTATCGAATTGGTTTAAGTTACTTGTCGTTTCCATAGCAAATGGTTGTGTTTTTCAACAAAATTAAGCTAGAAAAAAAATCCAAATGCTGCCATTGTATAGCACAATTTTTCCATGCTAACCCTGGTCAGTGTCTTTACGCTGAAGCAGTCAATAAAAGAGAACTATGGCTGCTGACCTGCTGCATAATGATAAATGGATGTGCAAGTGCAACATATGAAAAGATCAAATTAAGCAATCAATGACGATAAAAAGTGAATAATCAGTCTATGTTATATATGAACATTGCACATGTGTCATGATAACTAAAATCATTATCACTTCCAAAACTTTCAAGATCAAACAGATTAGTATGAATCTTATAAGAATTATATCTTGAGGTATTAGTTGGAAGTATGAATCTTATAAGAATTATATCTGGAGATTCAGGTCAGTGCATCCATTGTATTGTTCTTGTTGGCCGGTTTTTGCTTGTGACATTAACACAGCTAAAGATCTGTATTCCATTTTCAGCTAGCTTATGTAATTTTAAAGATAGATAACTGCATTTGCTTTAAATTTTAGAATTTAACAATTGCATCATAAACTCAATATAATTGTACAGATTAATTTTTTTTATTTTAAGGATGATAGATTTTAACTGTTAAAAGCAATCATGAGAGAATACAAGTTACCGAAATTCCCTAATCAGAAAGCAAAATTAATAGCTAACCAAAACAAGGTTAATATATTTGAAAAGTAAAACAAAAAGTGTGACTTTACCCTGTATTAACACCATAATGTTCTTGCAACTTCTCTTGACTGAATTGTAGCAAATCACCAACATTATTCACTCCAAGATCAGTTTGTAGGGAGCTTCCAAGCTTCCCGCCAAGTTGTTTCCTGCAAGATTGTGCCATTTCAGCGACGGCAACTTGAACATTACCAAAATACAAAAAACTGTAAATATTACATCATAAAAATAAAATGAGAAAAGCTGTCACACATTTCTGAATATTAATAATTAAAATGATGCTATTTAAAATTGAAAAGAAGTCTGGCAAAGGACAACCAAAATAAATCATGCAGAGAAACTACAGCAAACTATTACATTTTCTTCACGGGCAACGATGCTAGCAGATCTTTAACTGATGAGGATGGAACAACAGTTTGTTGCGCAGGCTTATGCATAGCACTTGCGAGTTTGGCTAACATCTGCCATGAGTACTATACATAAGTTCAAGAGCAAATGGTGACGCATGTGAAACGTTAGTGAGCTTCTAACTTAATTGAAAGCACTGAGATCTAGCTTAATACTAGAAGAAAACTGGAAGCTTTAAATTATTGATAAGTCAATTCATAATTTCATTCCTGTTATTGCATTCTGAGAAATAGGTGAAGGAAGATAAGGAAGCAGCAACTTTCTCCCCTTATGCTTTTGTTGGCTACCTTGTTATGAGCAATGCCCGCAGAACAAGTGAATTTTGTTTCATATAGAGCTTTCATACGAAGTTGTGCCACAATAATAGCTCCACAAGCTAATAACTTGTCCTGATGATCAGCATCACTTCGACGGAGCCATTCTCTGACATTCTCTTCTCTTTCATTACCTTCCTGAAGAAGACCAAAGCCCAAGATCATACTCAGGGTGAGAGATCAACTTCAAGATGGAAGAGAACTGAAACATGAAGTGTAATCTTACGAAACTAAAACGAAAGAAACTAGAGAACAATAAAAATAAAGTTTAATTAATGAAATATTTAAGGAATTGAAGTGCCAATATGCCCGTAAGCACATGCCAGCAAAGTATCAATAGGATGGGCACCGTACACTAGTTTCACCATTTTTTTTTTAGAATCAAGTGTTAAGTGCATGCCAATACTCACGTTTAGCACAGAGCCCATGTAAGTTGGCATGTGACACCCGCTCACTAAGAAACTAATATTTTATCTAATACATCATATAGTGAAAAGTATTCATATCCATGTAGCAAAAGAGAGAATGAAGATGAACTAGTCAGCAGTATCTTACAACATGAAGACCTAAAACATGTGACTTCAGAACCTCTTCATCAATTTCTTCTAGCACCTCAGGTGGAGTTTCTGAGAGCATCATCTCAGCAGCATCGGTGAGGTCAAGATAAACTTCATCAATTGATGCTCGCTCACATCGTCCTTTAGTTGCAAGTATGGAAACAACCTATACACTCAGAATCCACCAGAGACTTAACGTTGGATGACTTAACAATAAGCACAAAAAACATCTTGCTAATCGAAATGATAGTCATGTCAGACTAAGCATATTACTCTTTGAACAAACCTCAGAGCCAGCATTTCGGTATAAATTTAAATCAGCTTTACCACGGGCAACAGGAACTTGAATTAATTGAATATTTGGACAAATTCTTTTGGCCTCATCTCCTCGCATAGAACTGAAGATCTTGATTAATTATAACTTTTAAGTGAAAAATAAAGAATGAAAGTGATATATTATTACAATTGAAATAAATAATAAACTAACCGTTTCACACCAAATTTTCGAGCTTCATAACCAACTGCAATCAGGCCCCCACCTTTCCATGAGTTATATTGTACCACAGCAGTTGGCAAACCCCTCAAATCTGGATTCTTGCGTTGTTCCACTAAAAAAAAATGTACGAAATTTTGTCATCTTCTTTTTAGTAAGTAAAATTTATCATCTTAATGATATTATATAATTATATATGTGTGTATATATATATATATACATGTACATATTTGCTACATATCTTATTTTCTGATCAATGACAAACATAATGCTTTTATATATGACTAACCTAGGTCCTGAACAGTCAAATTATTTATATAAAAAGTAGGATGATGTATTGATCTATTAGACACACTGTGTAAATATTGGCCACACAGTGGTAACTTCTATTTCATACACGCTGTCCACCATAACCTCAAATTAAGAAAGCAAAAAAACTTTGCTCTAATCATAAGCAACAAGAGCCAAGAGCAGTGTAAAAATAGCTTCTCAAAACAAGTAGCTTATTGGTCGTAAATGCAACCCAACATAGTGTATATCACTTAGTGGTTAGTATGTTTGTCTTTTCCAGTAAATTCTACATCTTATAGGAAGCTTGCAGTAACAAAATAATATTTTTTTAAAAAAGGAAAATTATATCAAGAGGCTATTTAGTAACATGTTTCATTGTGTGATATGCCACTTTAAGGGAGTTTTAAAAATATATATAAAGAAAGGGAGCCTAAATCAGCTCCAGCTTGTAACCTAAATTAGCACAACCAAAAGCATTTAACACCTCGTAGAAAACAGCAGAAAACTGGGTGCAATGATGACAAATTTGGCAAACTTGGTTTTAACATAACAAACATTCTTTTTTGTTGTTTACCAAACTGTAAGGGGAAAAAAAAATAAGGAGTTCGACCATGACTATCAAACAAAGAATCCTCCATGTAAATTAAACCATTTAGAACTTAGTTATGGCTAAAATAACGCCCACATAATATGGTAAAACATAAATAATCGAAATTGACAGAAGTATCCTTCAAGAACCTAGATTTACGGAAACAGGAGATGCAACTGAAACAGAGATGTAAATCGGTAACCCAAATAACAAATATAAACCCCACTTGACTCGTATAACAACAAATTAATGAATTAAACGGAACGAAATTAAATAAGTTACACCGCTTAAGTGAAAGTTAGGGTTCAAGAATCGACAACACAATTCGATTCTCAACTAACATATAATTTTTCACAAGATTGCGGCCACATGGCAAATTATTTATTATGGAGATGCAACTTGCAGAATCTGATTCCCAGATGTAACCAAGGTTTTGAGAAAAAGGGAAAGAAAAATGTCCACATTTGGCCTCGATCAGGTATGACGGAGGAGAAGAGCGAGAGAGCGGAGAAAGACCTTGGACGTAGAAGCAATCCATGTCGACGTGGGCGATCACGCGCGCGTTCTGCGGCTCCGGCCGGGCGATTGGCATCCTTCCCTCTCCCTCTCTCTCTGTCTCTCTCTCTCTCTCAATCGATCGATGGAACCATGAAATGGCTTGCCCTACTCCACTACCGACCTTTCCCTCCCAAACCCTAACCTCTAAACAAATAACACATATATTAATTAGCCTTTGCTTCCTAAACTTCAAATTAACTGCACCAATTAATTCTTCAGTTTTATTATTTTATTATTATTATTATTATTATTATTATTATTATTATTGACTTCACAAACACTAATTCATGTTACCATTACAATAAATGATGTTAATAAAAATTGATTGGACGATTATAGGATAATTTTTATCTTTGATTTCACCATATATCTTTTTATGAGTTTGATCTAATTATCCATGATGGGGTGAATCAATTTGGTAGACTTTAACTTATGCACCCTAAAACACTCAAATTATACTGGCAATATCTTTTAATTTTTATTATGTTATATATCATACTCACGCCTTAACTCAAACATTAGATCTCTCACTTATCCAATGGTACACTCATCAATCAAAATAATATCTAAGTTAGAATAACTTGATTCAACCTTTACATCTAAGTTCAAGACTTATTTGGACTTATCTGATGAGGAAACATCTATGGAATATAATTGGTTGTAATGTAACAATAGTACTAAACTTTACAGATATAAAATGTCATGAAGAGAGAGAGAGAGAGAGAGAGAGAGAGAGAGAGAGAATAATTAAAGTAAATTATTATATAATATA